TTGCCCTCTCTCTATCTTTCTGGAGAGCACACGTGCCCTATAGCAAAACCTTCTCAAAAAAAAAAATATATATATATATATTTCTAATTATTTTTTATTTTTGCACTATAGGGCACATGTGCTCACCAGAGATAGACACACAGGGAGAGAGAGAGGGAAGTAAGAAAGCAAACCACAAGGTCTAGGACTTGATCCACCATCAGCCACGTGAGAGATCAGAGCCTTAACCAGCCCACCACCTGCTGGCCCATACTGTGTTCACTGATGTATCCTAAAGGTCTAGAACAGCACCTGCTTCCCAGGAGCAGGTCAGTGAACGAATGGAGAAAGAATGGATAAATTTCTCTTTATATAGCTCTACTGGCTCTTTACTGAGTTAAAACACGAAAAACAGGGGTCCTCTGGTGGCACAGTGATTATGGCGTGGGACTCCCATATGGTCAACCGGTCAACCTGAAATTCATGCCAGGCATGTGTGTATGCATGAAAAAAATTCTGAGAGGAGAAGGGATTGTGGCATGGCCATCCCGAGTGAGAGATGATTTCTCACTTTCTGTCTCTCTGCTTCTCTAGCAAACACACACACCCATGATTAAGAAGCTCTTAAAAAAAAAAAAAAAAACAAAACAAAAACAAAGAACACCTTTTCTGCCTTTTTGAAAGCTGACATCTTATAACTGACTACTTCTTACCAGTACCACTCGACCACCTCTTAAAAGCCTATTCCTGGGAGGGGACCAACAGCTGGTGTAATGGCTATGTCGCTGGACTCCCATGCAGTCAATCGCAGTTCTAGTCCTGGACCCGGTGGCTTGAACTCGTGATGGGCATGTGTGCGTGCATGCCCAAGATCCAGAGAGGAGAATGGAGAGGGGATTGTGGCATGTCCATACCCCCTGGGGAGTGATTTCTCACTTTCTGTCTCTCTCTTTCTGGAGAGTACACACGTTCTATAGCAAAAACCTTGGGAAAAAAAAAAAAAAAAAGCCTATTCCTTAATTCTAGATTGCTGCTTGGTATTTGCTCTCCACTAGTGAAATGAGATACATTTGTTAAGAACCATGTGTGAAAGTGAACAGGCTCCAACACGACTTGCCCCCTCTCTCTGTGGCCCTTCTCTGCACTAACGTGCATGTGTACACGTCTCTTCTGCTGGGACTCACTGGGGGCAAGTTCTGTGCTAGATATTCCTGCTCTCTTTCTCTGGGCTCCTAGAGACCTGTAGGAGGTTGCCAGGGATGGAGCTATCAGCTCTTTGGTTGCATTTCTCTACTCAGTAAAAGAGATGAGAAAAATTAGCCTACACAAGCATAGAAGAAGCACAACGTAGCTTCTGAACGCTGTGTGGAAACTCCAAGAACCACCCTGTCTGCAACAGGCAGACGAGGGGCTATACATCTGGGGCTGCCTTGAGAGGCAGCAGCCACCCTCTGCGCGTGCTCTCCAGACTGCCTGCAACCCACTGCACCAGCCAAACAGCTGTCAGACAAAAGGCAGTGCGTGATGCATTACCTCAACATACCATACTCCTATGTTTCTTACGAGCAAATCCTCTTGACAAATATTCCGTGTGAACTATATATAATAACCAAAAAGCCCTGGAAATGCTACCTTGGCTAAATCTCACAGTAAGTGCTCATCTTTCATGTGGAACTAAGGAACTGAAGGTACCTGGTCCACCTCCTGAACTGAGCTGTTCAAGGTCCATCTCCGCGTGAGGAGTAAACCGCACTTCTAGAGCGGCCGCCGGGGCCTCTTTCACCCAGGCAGGAACCACACTCTGGGGGCCTCCCGTACCCCTCCTGGCAGGGCACAGAGGCGCCACAGGCTGCTCCTCTGAACTGCTTCCTTGCAGGGCCGCTGCTCCTTCCCCTCCTCTCGGCCTCTTATCTGTATCTTCCTCTGGAAAACTCCTCTCCAGATGACATGGGCAACTTTGGTCTTCTGCCACACTTGGACTCTGACCACTTCTTGATTCCAAACCAGGATCTGCTACTCTCTCCCTGTCCTTAGGCAAGGTTCGCCGGATTTTCGATGTGTTGTCATGTTTCAGGCAGTTTCCTTCTGAATTCCTGTCTTCAGGGCACTTAGGTTTCTCCTTAGTGCTACTGTAGGGTTGGAGCTCACGGTACTCTTCAGGCTTGTCGTCAGACCAGGGCACAGTTTCTGCTTTATGTTCACTGTTCTGTAAATCAAAGTCCCCTAAAGGCTCCATCAAGTTCTGTGGTGAGTCATACTCCGCTATGTAGGGCTTTATGTCTAGTACAGGTGTGCCCTGTATCATGTCAATTCCAGAAAGGTATATAGTTCCACCTGTAACGTGAAAACAATCCTCTCAAAAACAGTAACAATGAAGAACAGTGCAAACTACTGGAGAATTACAGTCATGTGCCGCTTAACCATGGGCTGGGTTCTCAGCAATACATTGTTAGAGGCAATTTTGTCATCGTGCGAACATCACAGTGTATACTTACACAAACCTAGACGGGACTGCCTGCTATGCACCTGCTATGCAGCCTACCACTCCTTATGAGACCACCACTGATCTATGCAATCCGTCACTGACCAAAATGTTCAGCTGAGTAAGACTGTACCATCTAATACTCTCCAATACTGTTCGTTTAAGTCTTACTGCACTTACTGGCAATTCTCTCATGTACCGGGGTCTTTCACACCTGGTGCCAACATACGCTTTTCCTTTTTGTTAGATTTTTACAATAGGGTGTATGTGCTTGCTGGAAAGAGACAGAGAGATAAAGTGAGAAATCACCCCCTAGAGGGGATGGCCACACCATAATCCCTTCTCCATTCTCCTCTTGGAATTTTGGGCACACATGCACACATGTACAGTCCAGGAATACATTGTTAGAGGCAATTTTGTCATCGTGCGAACATCACAGTGTATACTTACACAAACCTAGACGGGACTGCCTGCTATGCACCTGCTATGCAGCCTACCACTCCTTATGAGACCACCACTGATCTATGCAATCCGTCACTGACCAAAATGTTCAGCTGAGTAAGACTGTACCATCTAATACTCTCCAATACTGTTCGTTTAAGTCTTACTGCACTTACTGGCAATTCTCTCATGTACCGGGGTCTTTCACACCTGGTGCCAACATACGCTTTTCCTTTTTGTTAGATTTTTACAATAGGGTGTATGTGCTTGCTGGAAAGAGACAGAGAGATAAAGTGAGAAATCACCCCCTAGAGGGGATGGCCACACCATAATCCCTTCTCCATTCTCCTCTTGGAATTTTGGGCACACATGCACACATGTACAGTCCAGGACTCAAACCACACAATTGGTCATGTGGAATCAGCTTCCTTAACCACCATGCTACTAGCTGGCCCTCACAGCCATTTCTGCTTCATGTACATGATCATCCTCACTATCTGCAGGACCAATGAGGGTTTCCATCATGGCAGAAGGGCCCTGTGATCTCCCCTCTTGGTGTTCATGCCCCTGTATAATCCCTTCCTATTGACTGTAACTTGCTTCTAACCAATAGAATAGAGTAAAAGTGACACACCATCAAGGATTACATCATGTTATTTAAGACTCCAGCGTACTGGTGGACTCGCTCAAGAGACTCTCCTTGCAGGCCTGATGAAGTAAACAGCCAGGTTGGCAAAGTCTAGAGGAACTGTGGCCAGACTGTAGGAGGTGACGGCAGTCTCCAGCCAACAACTAGCAAGAAGAGAGGGCTTTTAGTCCTACAACCATAAGGAACCGAATTCTCATAACAATCTGAGTGTGCCTGGAAGCAGATTTTTCCCTAGCCAGGCCTTCAGAAACGAATTCAGCCCAGCTGACAACTTTATTGCAGCAGAGTAAGACCCTAAGCACAGGACCTGGATACACTGTACCCATCCTCCTGGCCCACAGATACATCACAGTATTTCAAACCCATAATAAATGTGTGTTATTTAAACTGATAAGGTTTTGGTCATTTGTTATATAGCAACAGAAATCTAATATATCATAAAGACTCAAATAATCAGTAGCACATACATCATCATTACTAAATATGAAGGACAAGTTTGCTGTTGTTTTGCTTGAACAGCTGCTGTACTGTCCCTGCTACTGGTAGCATCTACTAACCTGACTCATGGGAAAGTGGCCAAATGAGAAACAAAAAAACTGCAGATGATCACATTTGATCCTGTCTCCACTTCAGAAAAGCATGACAAATAGAGGTTTCTAAAACATGCTCACTGTGAACTTTGAAAAGGTTACTTTGAACTTTCTAAATGATGGATTATGCCAAGCAATGTCTACAGGAGGAAAAAAAAAGGGCACTTTAGCACAGGAAGACTTCATGGGGTTTGGGGTCAGACAACCCCTGGCTGGATGCTACAAGGTAAATTATTTAACATCGAAGATCCTCAGTCCCTTCATTTGTAAAGTGAGTATGCTCTCCTATCAAACCCACAGAGCCACTGAGAGGGAATATACATGAACACTTCTTACAAATTGCAAGGAACCACTTAAACACTTGTAGTCACCATAAATCTTATTCAGTAATAATGCCTACAGTGCTGTATTTGCCCTTTAACCTTTCTGATTTGGCCTCTTTCATTAGAACATTAAGTTCTTCAGGAAAAGACTTACATCTGATTTGCTCACCACTCTATCTTTGGTGCCTGGAACAATCCCTACCACATATCAGTGCTAGAAAATATGTGTAGGCTGAATGAATGATCATACAGTGTTCTAGTACTGTTATCCAAGTTGGTTAGCCATCATAAATTGGTAACATTTAAGTTGGAGTGGCTATTAAATTATTCTGAAAAACCAAACCAAGGCCTAATTGAAATGACCCAGTAGGAGACTTCAAGTTCTGGGAATGAACAAGCAAAATAGCCCTTCTCATCTACTTAATGCCCAATTGCCTCAAAAGTACTTTTACAGCTTTGACTCACAAGCGCCTCAAATAAAGTCCTGTCGAGTCACAGAGGGGGAAGGTTGTTCTGCTTCGCCCACTTTACAGATCAGCAAGCAGAAGCCTTGAGTGGTGTTCCAACTCCTAGTCTATTTGCTGTTTCATCTTCTGTCTCTCTAACAAATGTACTTGTGGGTCCCAGTGAAAGGAATGCTTTCCAGATTATGTACAAATGCACCGTTAAAACTCATCTGTTATTCTACACAGGTACTTCCACAGTCTGACAGATGTTCCGTCCTGCAGTGTAACTCATCCTAGACCCTTCCCACATAGCAGCTGACAGCTGCACAGAGGCCATGGTGTATGTTAGTTCCCTCAAAGCTGCAAAAAGATACACTGCTACCCTATATGCTTACCATACAGTGCATGGACTCCTTGCTGTCTGTTAAATTTGAAAGTATCCCCATTTTTAAATCATTTTGTACCTGATGCATTCCAAGTCAGAGAAAAAATGGTTACTAATTTAATGGTTATGAAATCGATGAGTTACAGCATTTTAAAATATGTTAATGGTTTTTGGTATGTAATAGAACTCTTATCCTATGAGTGCTTATTTTAGTGTCTTAAATGCCACATCTTCTAATCACTGCATTTTCTTCAGTATCTGATGGTTCCCAGGAGTTAACACCATTAGTGCCAGTCTGAACAGCAGTCCATGGTGAATGCTATGTTGATTTTATAAGGTATTTCCGGGATAACAGGAAAAAATAAAGGTCTAGGTAGAAGTAAAATGAGTTACCTTCTACCTTTTCCAGCTTGGCCAGGGTCAGTCCTATGGCATTGGGACGATGAGGGCTCCTTGTGGAAAAAACTCCAGTCTTTGCCCCATTCAGCCTAGGGGGCTGCACTTTCGCCTTACAGCTCAAATGACCATTTTTGTGAAAAACAAACAAAATCCTGTTGAAGACAAATCAAATCACTCTATATAATAATCATATTGTTTATTTTCACTATAATGATTTGAGGAGGAAAAAACTTAAACTCTCACAAATTGTCAAAAAGAATGTTTTAATAGTATTAAACTATAATCAGTCTGGAAAAAAGTAATATCCCTCCTCTTCCTTAAAGAACAGAATCTTGTCTCCATATCCTTTGCACTGAACACAATGACTGGCACATAGCAGGAACTTAACAGATGTTGGTCAAGTCTCTAAGTAACAACACAGTCACTAGATCCCTGATGTTTGCCAGGCAATATGGTAGACATTTTTACATTCCTAATATACAAAAACAGTTTGCTGACTCCTGGCCTAGAGAACAGCATAAAGGCCCATGGAAAGAATCAAAGCAGTCTACAGTTTCAGCTCAACAGAAGGTGTTCATCATAATTAGGAACAACTGCAGATGCAACATGCCCCTTCAGTGCATCCGAAGCTTCCCTGAGGGTGTCCAAATTACACCAATCACATGTGCGAATCCAGTACAATCATATGCAGGAACTGCAATATCCATGCAATGATGCAGATGGTCTGGATGGCAGACTCCAAGGTTACCTTCAACTGGAGAACTCTACTCAAGGACAGGTTCTAGCCCAAAGTAACACTTCTAAGTAAATAACAACTTACCAAACATGAGAAAATTGTTCTAGGCCCATCAAGGAATGTTCAGGATTATTAAAGATGCTCTTTCTAATCCTTAAACAGGCCCGCGAATGACTGCAAATGGATGGCTGCCTTGGTGTACCATTCTTAGCCGAGAAACAGGATTCCAAGTAACCTATGGGCTCAGTTAAAAGATTCCCTACAGAAGAAAATTAGGTAAGAAATCATTAGTCAAAAGACCAAAGACATAAGAAAGCATGTTTTCTCTAATGCACTAATTTCAGTTTTAAAATCTACTAGGTGTTACACAACTGCAAAAAATGATTTTTATACTATATATAAATATATATAAATAGGGACCAGTGGGTGGTGTGGTGATTAAGGCATTGGACACTCCCACATGGCCGACCGCAGTTCGAGTCCTGGACCTGGTGGCTTTCTTTCTCACTTTCTCTCTCTCTTTCTCTGGTCAAATTAAAAATAAATGAATGGGGAACCAGCAGTTAGTGTAATGGCTATGTCGCTGGACTCCCACATAGTCGACCGTGGTTCGTGTCCCAGACCCGGTGGCTTAAAACTCACGCTGGGCGTGTGTGCGTGCGTGCCCAAGATCCCGAGAGGAGAATGGAGGAGAAGGGATTGTGGCATGACCATCCCTCCTGGGAGGTGATTTCTCACTTTCTGTCTCTCTGTTTCTCTGTCTGTCTGGCGAGTGCACGTGCCCTATAGTGAAAATCTCTCCAAAATAAATAAATAAATAAATAAATAAATAAATAAAAGAGTGAATAAATAAAGTTAAATAAATAATCCTTAAAAAATATAAATAGCCTCATTATTATACACACATAATAACATCCCTCTAGGTGATACAATAAGAGCACTATTCTAAAAGAAAAAATGAAAGGAAGAGGGCACTTTTAGACCTACTATGATCATAAACCATTTGCTACCACTATCTTTTCCTGATATTGCTTAGGGCCAAGAAGATTTTTCAAATAGAGGGGAAAATGTACCCAAAATAAGAAAAATCCATAGCATACATAGGGCATAAAGTATTTTGATTGGCTGGAATATGAAATTCAAGGCAGAGAATAATGAAAGATATGAAGACAATAGTTGTGTATAAGTAAAGATATGTTCAACTGAAAGCAACAAAATCTATGAAACTAGTCTCAGCAATTAAGAGTGTTCATGGGCTTATACTACTAAAACACTAAAGACAACGTACATTTTGGGCTAGGCTTGATCCAGTAACTGTCTGCCTCTCCAGAACATAAGCTCCCTGTGGGCAGGAGATTTTCTGTCTTATTTACTGTTGAATTCCTATTGCCTAGTACATTGCTTGTGAGGAGGTAGGTACTCAAAAAATGCAAGTTACACAGGAAAAAAGATGATGTAAGTCTAAACTGATTAAAAAGCAAAGGTAAAAAGAGAAACAACAGGGCTAGCCCACGGCCTGGTGGTTAAGGTAGTTGGATCCCACATGGCCAACCATGGAGTTCAAGTCAGGAACTGATGGCTTGAAACACATGGCAGGCAGGTGTGTGTGTGCAAGGCCAAAATCCCAGAAGGAGGGAGAGGTGGCAGAGAAGGGATTGCAGTGTGACTGTCCATGGGTGGTGCTTTCTCGCTTTCCTTTTCTGTCCCCTTCTCTCTCTCCCAGGCAAACACACACACTGTTCATCAAATTAAAAAGCAAAACAAAAAATGAAAGAACAATTCTGTATAATGTGAACCCATTTATGAAAACATATTTATATACTCATCTAAATATGTACGTATACATATCTAGAAAACTATCTGGAAGGACATTCACCAAAATGCTAACAGTGGCTAAACTGAGTGGTTAGATTTTGGAATCATCTTTATAATTAACTTTGTGATTTCTTTAATTAGTCACAAAACTGTTTCATTAAAAGGCAACAATGTCTTCCAAAAAAGGAAATAACTGTCCAGGCACCATTAATGTAAGTCTAAAATCCAGTCTCTATGACTTATCTACCATTTTTGAATTTACAGGTAAGTTGTTTTTTCCCCCATATTTCACAAGAGCGTCACTGATTTCTTTAAAAAGATGATAAACACTCTAGACCTTTATTTGACTTCTGGCTACAATTAAATCTATCCTATAAGACTATAGGTCTAGGGCTGTCTCCCACAGTACCTTTCTTTACTTTTCACAAATTATTTGCAACAAATGCGTACATCATAAACATTATAATGAAACCCTGCATGCCAATCACCCATCCCCCAAACAAAAGTACTACCAACAACTAGAAATTTTTAGGTGTCTTCTGTCTTATCCCACATCCTTCCTTTCCCCCCCGAAGAGAAGCTTGATTTGATACCAGACACCACGATAACAACAGTGTTTTCTCTGGGTGAGGACGAGCTCTTTCAATTTACTATGTGTTTCCTCTATTTTCAAAAACTAGTATATTCCATTCTCTATAAAAAGATGTTAAAGAGGGAACCAGCTGTTAGCGTAATGGCTATGTCGCTGGACTCCCACATAGTCGACCCGGTGGCTTAGAACTCACTCCGGCGCGTGTGCGTGCGTGCCCAAGATCCCGAGAGGAGAATGGAGGAGAAGGGATAGGGGGGTGGCAATCG